ACAGGGGAACTGAATTCAGGTCTACTAGAAACTAGAGTCCAGCTAATATGCTGTCCTTTCTCTCCAGATGCTTCAGTTTGGCATGGGACAGACATTCCAAAAGCCTAAGCCTGAATTGATTCAATATTTGCCTAAATTGATTGACCTGGCTAAGCTGAATCAGTTTGTAACTGCACAGATATCCCAGAAATGTAGGCACATGCCTAGAGTGGCTCAGGCTAGAAGCCTTCCACAGTGCTGAGTTGAAGGGGGCATGGCCAGGCCCCAGCAGGACACTGTGATTAAGGAGAGTTTCCCCCACTTCTGACCAGCCCAGCAGGGAATTGATAAGACAGTGTTTATCACCCCCACAACTCAGTGATTATCACCCCATTAAGAAAACAACAGAAGGACATTACCACCTACCTGTTGATTCTGCCTTTGTCCCATCTGCCAAAACACAGACCATAGCCAGCATGGGGTCTGCTAGCTAATGCTGAGAGGTGTCTGTGTCAGGCAGCCGGGAGGCGGCAATTCCTGCTTATCATTAGGGGAGGGGGTAAGCAGGGGGAAGCCAGGCAGACGCCTGCAGTCTCTGCTGAGCTTCAGCCAGGGAGCAGAGAGAAGGGGCAGCTCTGCTGTGGAGCAGAGATCCCTGCCCAGTCCAGAGAGCATGCTGGGATGCCAGGGAACTCTGGTTTACCTTAAACCAGCAAGGGGCCTGGGACAGACATTGCATAAACCGGTTTGAGCAAATCAGTTAAGTCTGATACTACATTCAGCCAGGTTTATCTCAAACTGGTTTCAGCCATTTTCAAACTGGTTTATGTGCACTGAACATCTGTTCTGTTACAGGTTTAAACCAGTTTCTGATCACTCAAACCAGTTGACATGTAATGTCTGTCCCTAGCCTTTAAGATCAAATAGGGCTTCAAATGACCTAGCCTGCACCTATGCAGATCTTTTGCTATCCTGTAAAGTCAACAGGATTGAGGAACAGGCCCCCTTATGCCCACTAAACCTGGGATTGAGAGAACCATAACAGCAGACAGCAGAAAGCCAACATTTTAAATATTGTTGATGCCTTTTTTTTTAAACTACATATAGAATACAAGTGGAAATATGCTTTCCCATGAAGGAGCAATCCCAGGTTGTTCCCACAAAGTAGCTGCTAATATAATGAGAATGAAAAAAATAAGTGATCTTTAATTTTTTTACTCCGAGGAAGAAAGAAATGAAATTCAGGCTCACAGAATTTGCTGTTCAGGCTCTTTGAAGATCTTACCTGTGAGGGAAGCTACCACGCTGCTTGTGTGTCTGTTGAGTTCTATTACTTGCTAAAGTCTCAAGACATTATGAAAATGTCTGTTAGCTAGATGATTTCATTATCCATATAAGCGTCTAGTTTCTTTAAAAAAAAAAAAAAAAAAAAAGTTGAATTCTGGGCCTTCGTTATATCATGATGTAGGGAGTTTCATGGATTTTTTTTTTTCCCTAGGGTAAATATTTTTACCTTATTTTTTTCTCAAGGAATGCATTCTTTTATGCTGTTGGGGGAGGGGCAAGGGGGCAAAAACTTGATTTTTATATCTGCATTTTCTAAATAAATGTATTTTAATTTTTTCAAATGGTTTCATAGTTTCATAGTTGGTAGGGTCAGAAGGGACCCTGAGCAGATCATCAAGTCCAACCCCCTGCCATAGCAGGAAAGAGTACTGGGGTCAAATGACCCCAGCAAAGTGTTTGTCCAGCCTCTTAAAGACCCCCAGGGTAGGAGCCAGCACCACGTCTCTTGAAAGTTGATTCCAGATCCTAGCTGCCCTGACAGTGAAGTAGCTCCTCCTGATATCCAGACTGAATCTACCCTCTGCCAGCTTGTGACTATTATTTCTTGTCACTCCTGGTAGTGCTCAGGAGAACAGGGAGTCTCCCAATGCCTGCTGGTCCTCCCTGACTAGTTTGTAAACGGCCACTAAATCCCCTTTCAGCCTTCTCTTGTGGAGGCTGAACAGGTTCAGGTCCCTTAGGCTCTCCTCATAGGGTCTGCCCTGCTGACCCCTGATCATGTGGGTGGCCCTCCTCTGGACCCTCTCCATGTTGTCCACATCCCTCCTGAAGTGCAGCACCTAGAACTGGATGCAGTACTCCAACTGTGGTTTGACTGGTGTCTCATCAAGGGGGAGAATCGCCTCCTTGGACCTGCTTGAGATGCATCTGTGGATGCATGACAAGATATGGTTGGCCTTCCTAACCGCGTCCCCACACTGTTGGCCCATATTCATTTTGGCATCAGTAATGCCTCCAAGACCTTTTTCCCTCTCTGCACTGATGAGAAGGGAGTTCCCCAGCCTGTAGGTGTGCTGCTGGTTCTTCCTCCTCAGGTGCAGTACTTTGCACTTGTCAGTGTTGAAACCCATCCTGTTCTCATCCGCCCACCCCTGTGACCTGTCCAGGTCTAATTCAGCCTGGTTCTACTGAATTTATTGAAAATCTGCTATTCTCCTAGAAAAAAAATACTTTTGATAATGCATGTCTTGGAAAATCTAAAACTTGATTTTTTAAGTTAGAATTTATCGGATCAGTCATGTGACTAAAATTAATCTTCACAATGGGTAATAGATGAAGCCACGTTCCTCTTTTCCACATCCCATCTCCATCTTCAGCATGCAAATGCATGCAAAGAGCTTAGTTATTTTATACTTGAGGATTGTTTTGAATAAGGGTTGTTTTTTTTTAATTCCCCTTTCTAAAAATTTGTGTTATGGTTAGAGCTAGTTTATTTTAATCACCTTCCTCTACCAATGATGTTGATCACAATAGCTGCTGTTCGTTGCCAAGGTGCAGTTCTTAAATCAGCTCTTAAGTGTTTTTTGCAAGTGTCAATAGCTTTTCTTTTCTTCTATAGAACCAACTCTTTTACGAAGAAATAATATGAAGTACTGAAAATTTGCTTCCCTAAATCTTGTCCTGTTGTGGTGTTTCACAGGTTTATAAATGGGTAGTTTGTATCACCCATTTTACTGTTCTATTAGACTTAGTTGCCTCTGCTCTCTATCAGCACTGTGCACTCAATGATTGATATGGTTAAAGAAGAGCAGGGGACTTAGCAACATAACTCTTATTCACATGATCTGTGGGATTTCTTATTTGGGTAAATTAGTCAATATAGAACTCATTGCTGCTGCTTGTTTAAAGCTAGGCTGGTTATCCCTGCACTCTGCTACACTATAGATATGCACTAAACCCTTTACGTGGATTTGAAAATCTCAACCAAGATCTATTTTCATAGCTAGGGGCTGGTACTATAATTTGTAGAATCATAGAAACTTAGGCTAAGGACAGACATTACACATAAACTGGTTTAAGTGACCAGAAACTCGTTTAAACCTGTAACAGAACATATGTTCAGTGCACATAAACCAGTTTGAAAATGTTTGAGATAAACCTGGTTGAATGTAGTATCAGACTTAACTGATTTGGCTCAAACTGGTTTATGCAATGTCTATCCCAGACCTCTTGCTGGTTTAAGTTAAACCAGAGTCCCCCAGTATCCCAGCATGTTCTGTGGGCTGGGCAGGGCTCTCTGCTCCACAGCAAGGCTGGCCCCTCCCCTCTGCTCCCTGGCTGCAGCTCAGGTAGAGACTATGGGCTGCTCCTCCCCTCCCCACTCCCTGCTAAGCCGGAATTCCCCACTCTCCTCTGCTTTGCAGAGAGTTGTCTGTGTACAAACTAGCAGACCACATTCTGGCTATAGTCTATGCAGAATCAACAGATAGCTGGTAATGTCCCTCTGTTGTTTTCTTAATGAGGTGATAAACACTGAGTTAGGGGTGATAAACACTGTTATCAATTCCCTGCTGGGTTAATCAGACCATCCTGCAGGGGCCTGGCCTGCCCACTCTCCCCCCCACCCCCAGCTCAGTTCTGTGCAAGGGAAAGGTAGGCTGCTCTAAAGCCCCCTGGCTTCTAGCCTGAGCCATTGCAGGCATGTGCTGGAATTTCTGGGGTGTCTGTGCAGTTACAAAGTGATGTAGCCAAGCCAGGGTAGACCAAACTGCAGAGATTGAATCAATTCATGCTAAGGCTTTTTGTATGTCTTTTCTTAGCCTTAGGGTTGGAAGGGACCTCAAGAGGACATTTAGTCCCTCCCCCTTCTCAAAGCTAGTGTATGTGTTTACCTACAACATGGGATTTGTATCCATGCAGATTGTATTGCTTGTTTCTCTCTGTTACAAGAGAATTTTCTGTGGTTAGTTTCTATTAATTTATTTTGGTGAAGTGCTGCTTACTCTCTTCCCTTCCCCCTTCTCCCAATGTCTGCAGGCTTATCCATGCTTCATATGAAGCAAATAGATTAGAAGTTCAGTGTTTCTAAATGACTTTCAAGTCAGTTTCTAAAGCTAGTGTCAGATTTATTAAAAATATCTGCACAATACAGGTTGTTTCTTGTAAACCAAGATTGGTTTTGACAGTTTATGCAGTTTAAAGTTTCTGTCTGTAAAACCCTTGTCAAATAAAAAGCAGAAGAATAAAAAGTGCACCACTTTATAATCAGTACAGTACTTATGAACCTCAGCATACTGTGCCTTGAATTATATTTTTTTCCTTCTTTTTTATTTATTTATTTTTCTGGGGTTAAGTACTAAAGGATCAGGTCTCTCAGAAATGAACAAGCATAACTACACTTAATACTGATGGGAATTACATATGTGTTTTGAGGTTAGATTATAGCTGTAAGGTAAGCATGAGAAAAGATGCCTAGTCCTGGAGCCATTCAGAGAAAATTGAAAAATCATACAGACTGCATTAAACCTAAGGTTAAATTGCCAAAGATGCCCCTTTCCTACCTGTAATTTTTGGAGAGCTTGTGAAGCCTCAAGAAGTGGAACCAAGCTGCATATCAACTGATTTGCTTATAAGTAGCAAAGATTATATTTTTGTTTTCATTCTGTCATTCATTCAGTTTCTCTCAAGGAAAGGGAACTACTTTCTGGTGTGAGGTGATTCATTCTACACTCCAGCTGGGGAAATGCTGTATTTAGCAAACATTTCCTTGAAATAAGGAAAGATTGTGTTTAACACCTGAGGTAAGGTAATGAGCAACATGTATACAAAAACTTTTTAAACACAGATTGGGGAACCATAAAATGGGAAATTCAAAGATTGGGTTCTTTTATTAATATAATTACATATTTCTATCTAACTTCCTTTTGTCTGTCTTTTTAGTAAGCAAAAAGCGCATAGAATTCTATTATGATTCTCATTAAATTCGTAACACTAAAGTCTATGAATCTGTATAGAAGTTTATTAAAGAAGTTAGTAGATATTCCCTTTCATTTCATTGAAAGACAGGCTGGGCATATATTGGATGCTGTACGGTAGTAAATAATTATACATTGGACAGAGAAGAGACAAGATCTAAAATGCTTGGGTTTTTTCAGTCTCTAATTTAAAGTTTGCAGGCTTTACACATCTGAAGACTTTTTCTCTTCCTTTTCTCAAGAATACATATCTAGTAGTGCAGGTACTGAACCATTATTTTTGTTTGTTGAACTGCTTGTTTCGCATGGACAGATTGAAACACTAAAGAAGTCCTTGCCACAATAACAAGCTGTGCTGGATCATACCTGCTTTGGATCACCTGAAAAACACATTTGGTACCACTTTGGAAGCCATGTGTACTTATTTTAGAGCACAAGATATGGCTTTAGTTATCACATTGCTATTTTGACAACCCACACAGCAATATAGCAATATAAGTATTGAACAATTTTTCTCAGGGGTCTGAAAACTCAATTTCCTGAGATCAGAGATCTATTTTTTTCCCATGGGAGAAGGAAACATAAGTCTGTTTCCTCCATTATTAACATTTTGCCTAAGGGCAGGTTGAAACATAATTCCTATCATTTTTACCTCCTACTGCTCCACCAGGGAAACACAGTCCAAGTATATGTATGTGGCTCTTCTTTCATTTTGGTTCCCTGCTGTGGCAGCTGTATGACAGTGCAGTAGCAGGGGGCATGAAGGGAAAAACCTTGCAGAACCTATAGGCAACTCTTGTGATTTTGAATTTGACAGTGTTTTGTGGCCCTGTCATCTCTAATGGGGAGGGGGGAATTTATTTTTTTTTATTATTGTAACTCCCTACTTTAGATGCAGCAAGGGTAAAATTCCCCTGCTTCATTGCAAAAAGAAGCAAAAATGAAAGTAGTGTGTGGCTGTCTTTTGTTGGTTTTTTTTTACCTTTCCTCCAGAGAACCTCAGCTGTAAAACATACTCAGTTTCAAAATTAAAGTCAAATTATGTTTCTAGGAAGTTCTTGCCACTGAGACTTGGAACTGGAAGGAATAAAATTCCAGCGTTTGACCCTTAGAAATAATGAAGGAAAAGAAGACTTCTCTAGTTGATCCTAATCATGCTCAACTTTGTGGTGGTATGACTTGAAAATAAATATTGCCTCTTCCAAAAGAAAATAACTGTTAGGAGGAGTCTTCTGGCATTAAGGTGTGAACCAAATGAGTAAGTGGGGGATTATTCAGACATGATTTTTCTAAATCTTCCATGATGAGGCTACCCAGAACACCGCTCCTAGCCTCCCCTGTGCCATTTAGTAGTATGAGAAGACAGAGTTGGTGTTGCCTGAACAGCAACTCTTTTTATTACATAAATAAGTTTTCTAGCATGGTCACATTTGAAGATTAATCATTCCCAGCAGAGCTGAAAGAACTTGGAATTTCATTTTTCCAGAACTATTTCTTTTTCTGGACTAGAATGAAAACAAATATTGTGCAAAGAGTCCAAGAAACAGAAATTCCAAAAAATAATTCCAGACTTTAATTTCAGAATATATATATTCTGTAATATATATGTGTGTGTAATATATATATACACACACACACATTTTACATGCTAATGGCATGTCAGTAGCAGTAGTACATAATGCAATGTGTCATATTATGTTAAGTAATATTGTCAGGAAACCCTATGAGGCAGCCCAGTCCAGTTTAGTTGCCCTGTTGGCCAAACCTGCCAGAGGCTCTTAACTGACTGATGACCCAGCTGGCTATTGGTAGGACCTCCTAATTTGACTGTTGGAGAGAGCAGCCTCCCTATTTAAGTCTACCTGTGGCAGTAGACTGAAGGCCAACCCACAGCTCTACCTGGTCAATTGTCCGAGGCCTTTTTATATTGTTTCTAAGTGACTGCAGCAAGGGGTGATGGAGGAGAATGGCAGCATCCTGGTCATCTGGATCTGCATCCTCCTGGGGAGGAAGAGTAGTTGCCAACAGATGGTGGCAACTAGAGGAAGAACCATAGCAGAAGGTGAGCAACCCATGGTGAATGCATGACAGAATACAATTGGCAGACCGTGATTTTTCAGCTTATGGAGAATGAATTGTAGCAGGAGGACAGCAGATGGTGGGGATAGTGGACAGCAGCTTCTGATAGAAGCAATCCTAGGTACAGCAGAGGTGACTGAGACCACAGATATTTGATATGAGTTTCAGAGGTCCTGGGGGACAATAGGTGTGAGACAGGTAGGTGGGGGTGGGGGGGCCAGGGGAAGGGGGAATGTTGAACTGCTAATAGAGTGTAGATGATAAAATGCAGAGAAGTTACCTGGGATTATCAGATGTCAGGCAGGTTATAATGTGCCATAAATCCAATGTCTATATTTAGTCCGTGATTCTTTGTATCCAGTAGATTATGAATTGAAATTTGTGGGCTCATCTACGAAAGGTGTTTTGTTAATTCCCTTTGAGGATTAGAACTGAGAGCATGGTCGGAGGCAGCAGGGTAGGCCCTATGAGGAGAGGCTACAGGACCTGAACCTGTTCAGCCTCCACAAGAGAAGGTTGAGAGGGGATCTGGTGGCTGTCTATAAACTTACCAGGGGGGACCTGCGGGGAACAGGAGAGTCCCTGTTCCTCTGAGCACTACCAGGAGTAACAAGGAATAACGGCCACAAGATGACTGACAGTAGGTTCAGGCTAGGTATCAGGAGGCACTACTTCACAGTCAGGGCAGCTAGCATCTGGAACCAACTTCCAAGGGAAGTGGTACTCGCTCCTACCCTGGGGGTCCTCAAAAGGAGGCTAGACAATCACCTAGTCAAGGTCATTTGACCCCAGTACTCTTTCCTGCCCATGGCAAGGGGTCAGACCTGATGATCTGCTCAGGTCCCTTCTGACCCTACCAGCTATGAACTATGAGAGAGAGTATTGTCTTGTGAGAAGTGTGCACCCACAGGTAATTGGGTATTTTTGTCTTCGATGGATTTCTAGTGTACATTCATTTTGGTGCACAGTTGTTTGGTTTCCCCTACATATTTTCCATCAGGGCATTATGTGCACTGGATGAGATATATATTACATTTCTGGAGGTGCAGGGATATGGTGATGGTTCTGCTGTGGGGTGTAGCAATTGTGGGAGTAGTAGAGATCTGTTGGCAAGTTTTACATTTCTTGTCCTGGCATAGTCTGGGTCCATTTGGTGTATTTTGGGCCCTAGGAAGTTTGCTCTGGTGATGACCTTGGCAAGGTTTGGTGCTTGTTTAAGGCTTAGGATGGGTGGTTCTGGAAAGATGTCTTTAAGAATTGGGTCTTCTTCTAGTATGGGTTGCAATTGTTTGAGGATTTTCTGTATTGGTTCCAAGGAAGGATGGTATGTCATAACTAATAGTGTGAGATTCATGCAGATATTCTTTTTGTACTGCAGCAGTTCTTCACATTCAACGATGAAGGACCCAGGTAGGGTTGGTGTGGCTGGTGGGGGTTACCTGTATAATTGGGGTAGATAAAGAGGAGCTTGGATAGGGAGCTCAGGAAGGCTGCTTCATCACATTTTAAAAGAGTAAGTTTTAAAAGATGCTTGGGAGAAGGGGGGAAGTGGTGATTAGCATGAAGCCCAGAGCCCAGGTATGCTCTTGCATTGATTTTTGGTTTTATCTCAAATGATTTTAAACTGGTGAGGAAGGAGGTTTTACCAGTGGGTTTTACAGGCCATTTTATGTTAAAAGTGGAGGTGGGGGGCAAAGTGAAGCAGTATGAAAGAGTAGACCCTATGAAGATTAAACATGTGGTTGGAGGAGGAGGGTGTGCAAGGATTTGAGAGGATGGTATAGGGGTTGGCAGATTCTTAAAATCTGTTTTGAACCTTGGTGAGAATGGTGGCAACAGAAAGCAAGAGTTTTTAGTGGCAGAGGTACATAGAAGTATGAGGAGAATAAAGGAGTCTGGATGCCACAAAGAGGGCTTTGGAGGAGTGGTTTTTAACTAGAGAAAAAGAAAATAAGGTTTAGTGTGTGCCCCATGGGTGCTGAGGGGAGAAGGCTGGTCCCACTACTCCATCAGGGTAAAGAAGAGCAGAGCAGACCTGACTGCTGTGGTGGAGGAGGTCGGAACATGAATAGAAAGCCAAGAGGTGATGATGGAAGTGGCCTGAAAGATTTATGCTGTATTGTACCAGAGGGAAGTGGTAGAGGAACAATTGCAGAGATTTATGTGAAAAGTAGAGCTGAAGGTGAGGAAGGAAGATGTGGTAAAGATGGAGGAATGAGATGGTTTTAATGAACATGGGGGCATGTTTGAAGAATTTCAAAAAAAGGGTAAAATCCTGTAGCAGGATAGCATTGCCAACAGAAATTTTACCAAATGTTTTGGGCTTTGGTGTGGCCAGAACTGATTGAAGATTTTAAGGCGGTGCTGCAAAAGCACAGTGATGGTGGTGGTTCAAATGGGTGATAGGTCAGAATTGATGGTAGCCAAGGAAATTACAGCGTTGGAGGTTTTATTTGACAGGAGAGTGGGAGACTGGGAATGGGAAAAGATCTGGAAGAGAGTCCAACAGGTGCCAAGGCTGTTTTTGGGGAGAGTTTTATCATATAAGGGCAGTGTTAAAAGCTGTATTATTATTATCAAGTATTTTATATGCAGACATAGTATTTCTTTGTAATGTGGAAATGGCCTATGCAAATTCAAAGGGAGATCTATGCAGTTTTTTGGCAGGCCAAAAGAATGCAGTTGGCATGGTCAAAACATTTTAGAGAGAGGCTGGTAGCTGGGTGGAGATTCCCATTTGGCCTATT